TGGCATCATGAGCTTATCCACTTGCCCCACTGGGGTGTGTAAAGTGAGCTGGGACGAGCTGCGTGCTCAGAGTGGTGTTTGGCGCACAGTAGGTGTCTAATGTATGTGAGCTGCTGTATTCTTGTGGTGTTCATGTGCAGAATGAGCGGTAATGGGCCCTCATTCCCGCCCTGCAGATCCAGCTGCACTCACCAGCCTCAATCCAGTCTATTTTGGGCGCGTTCTCTGGTGTCGTCAATCTCAGGTGTGACAGCTTGTCAGTGTCTGCCTTCTACACTGCCAGCTTGCTGCCCCCAAGCCAGCCATGATGGGTGATTGGTCCCCTAAGGAATCGGGAAGTGACATTTCTCACTAGTCAGACAGCCCTGATTTAAACCAGCAGCGGCAGCAGGAGTCCTGAGTCAGCAATCAGAGTTGGGAGTGTGGTTTAGGGGAAGGAGACGGAAGTGGCCTCTGCCTGCACCTCTGCCGTGTGACTCTGGGCACAACTCTGGGCCTCAGTTTCTTTGCACTTAACGTGCCCCGTACCAGCCCCCCCCCCAAAAAAAAAAATCACTGTCAACTCTGTGGAAGCACATATCGTGCTCAGAATGGCTGGTGACTCGATGTCTACCTGCTGCTCTAAGTTGTGAGTTCCAGAAAGAGAACACATTTGTTCATTGCTGCATTCACACCCCTGGCCAGTGCCTCACTCACCATCGGTGCTCACTTGGATATTTACTGAATGAAGGAATGCAGTGAAAGAAAAAAGACTTGAGAGCAAGTCAGACCGGTTTTGCTTTAGACCTGCCCAGCAACTAGCTTCATGATACTGTGCTCTATGACCCTTAGACTCATCATCTGTAAAATGAAATCATTGTAGGAAAAACACCCACCAGGTGGTTTTGAGAAATAAATGTCATGGTGTGTGTGTTTGTGACGTATATCCGTGTGTGTGTCTACATGTATGTATTTATGCCCACACATCTAGAAACCTGGGACCTAATGTCCAGCATGCAATGGGCATTAGAAAAATGGGAGCTATTATTCATTTCTCTGGAGCCCAGCTCAAGGTAGTGCTCTGTGTCCTGGTGATGGAAAACTGAAGGCCAAATGCAAATCAGCCCATACCTTCCCAGGCTGCAGGGGGCCCACCCACCCAGGGCAGCTGCCTTGCAAAAGGTCTTCTGCAGCCTCTCCCTTGCCGTTGAGCCCACCGTCCTCTCCGCCCACTTTTCCTTTACCCTTGCTCCTAATCCAGCCACACGGTCACCTGCCAGGCCACTAGACAAACAGAGGCTGGCACGATGGGCAGAGAGGGCTGAGGTGGGTGGGGAGCCTGGGTCTTTGTCCCAACCCTGGCCTGGCACAAACCCACCACGGGATCCTGAATAGGCACCTCTCCTCTCTGACCTCACTGTCCCCTTCTGGAAAGTGCTGAGAACTAGACAGGACAGCGGTCAAGAACCCTTGATTCGGGGTTTCAAGTGGGCTTCAGGCTCAGCCCTGCCCCTTACCAGCTGTGAGATGTGGACAGGTCACACACAACCTCGGGGACACGAACAATAAGCGCAGGTGACCTGTTTGGAGTCTTTAGTGAGCATTGCCTCCAAAGCACCAGGGAGGTTTGTGCACGATGCATGGAGACGTGTCTGGGGGTCTGAGGGCTCTGTTCCCACTTAGGTCAGGTGTCTCCCCATTGAGGAAGCCCAGGTTTCCCAAGTCAGGTGGTACCCAGCATCTCTCCTCCTGGGACACTGTGACAAGACAGCAGCTGGAGAGCACCAAAGTCATTTGAAATGAAGACGTGGCCCCACTGGGCATAGGTGACACCGGCCCACATGCAATTGTTTCAACCTGTGGCCCAGGGTCTTCTCAAGCCCCGAGTGGGTGTCTTCTCAGGAAAATCTTCTTCTGACCCCTTCAAAAGTCACAGGAAGAAAACTGCATGTTTCCTCCTCAGCCTTCCCTGTAATACCAGCCTCCACAGCTGGCCTCCTGCAGGCCTCCAGCCCTCCCTGCACCCCCTTGAGCTGCAGGTGCTCTCTCCCTGTGGCTGCAGGTCGTCCTGCTGGGAACCACATTTATGGAGCCACCCTAACTTGCAGGCCCTGTTGAAGGCATCTGTTCAGCCTTGACGCTACTGATTCTCACCTTGAGGAAACTGAGGCTCCAAGAAGGGTAACGAGCTTCGAAGGGAATGGCCAGGTTGCCTCCTCCAAAGGGAGGGCAGAGAGAGGTGTCCTTGCTGCAGACTCTGCAGACAGGATATGGCTAGAGGGGGGAACCAGGAGGTGACTGAGCTGGACATGCCCAGTTCCTTTCCTCAGCGTCTTTGGGACACTGTGACAAAACAGCATAACTGGGTGGCCTAGAACCCGCAGATGTTTGTTTCTCACAGTTCTGGATGCTCGGCAGTCCAAGGTCAGGGTGTGGAGGATCTGGGATCTGTCAAGGGCCACTTCCCTGTTCATAGGTGGCCTCTTTGGGTGTGTCCTTGGGTGGCTGCAGAGTGGATGGCTTCAGACTCTAACCCCTTCTATATAATCTTGTGTGAGGGCTCTTCTCTCATGACCCAGTCACCTCCCAGGGACCTGTCCCCTAATACCACTGCTTTGTAAATTATGTGAACTGAATTCAGGGGTGGGGGGCTTACACACATTCAGTTCATCACGTTAGGTATGCTGGTCCAGCCCCCAAGGTGAGGCAGTGAGACCACGGCTACGTAGGGGGAAATGAGAGCTTATTCTGCTTTCTGTGTAGTCAGTCATGGCATGAAAACGGAAGTGGTCAAAATCTGGCTTCTCGTGCTCACCACAGTGCAGAGGAAACACTTGGGCTTTGGGGTCAGAAAGTTTCATATGTGAAGCCTGGCTCCCACATTTACCAGCTAGATGCCTTGGGCAAGGAATTTTTCCTTATCTTTAAAATTGCTTGCCTTCTTAGGATGATTATGAGGAGGACTCCAATTGTCTCAGCCTGTTTTGTGTTGCTATAACAATACATGTCAGGCTAGGTAATGGACAAAGCACAGAGGTTGATTTCTTACAGTTCTGGAGGCTGGGAAGTCCACCAGTCAAGGGGCCTGCCTCTGGCAAAGGCCTTTGTGCTACCTCATCCCATGGCAGAAGGCAGAAGGGCAAGAAAGTGAGTGTGAGAGGGAAAAGGAGTGAGTGAAAGAGGAAACAACCACTTGTGACCAGGGCCACCATCACAGGGTAACCCCTTGAGGTCCCTCCCTGGCTCTTCTGTTCCTCTGTGTGACCTCCCTCACCTGAACCCACCCTCCCCGTGCATGCACCCCCTACCCCACCCCATCCTTCAGGTCTGCCGCGCAATAGTCTATCTACATGTCCTGCCTGCACAGGGCCCTGCGTGTCCATCTCAGAGCCAGCAGAGTGCAGTGGTGAAGCCGGTGGAGTTGGGCTGTTGGGGTGCTGCGCCTAATTCTGTATGACCATGGGCAAAGGGCAGAATTGTCCTGTGCCTCCCTTTCCCCATCTGTAGGGTGGCACCGACCACTGTGCTGCCCCCGTGGGCTTACATCAAAACAGTTAAGACCAATACTCCATTGCTCATAGTTCCTATAAGTAATGATAATTATTAATCCTAGTAATGAATTCTGCTATGTATTAATAATTAAAGGGCTCGGTGCAATTTTAATACATAGTAAATACTCTATAAATTTGCACTTGCCTTTTCCCAACTTTTTTTGTGTGTGTACATATCTTGTCTTTCCAATGAAATCAGAAAATGTGTCACCAAGGCCTCGTTTCTCAGCTGGAAATTACAACTGATTCATGAGCAGCCTGAATTCATCCCCTCTCACACACACTCCACACTGGTCTTCTCCCTTACAATCCGAGGGCTCTTCCCAAAACCCAAAGTTAGCAGTTTCCCCTTCACAGTCTCTACTGGCTACAGCCTGGATGGGAACGTGGGACTCCTGGGTGCAGGGCATCAGCCTGGCCCAGTGCTCGGCCACCTCGCTCACCCCTGCCCCTGCCCGGGTGCTGCAGCTTCAGCATGTGGACTCCCCCAACATGTGGCCTCCTCACAGGCCTCCCCAGAAACCACATGCCCACTCCAGAGCTGCCAGGACTTTTGCTCTTCCCTCCCTGTGTGGACACCTCTCCCCAGCAGACCATGAGCGTGTCATAGGCAGCCCCCAGGGTCCTCTGGACACCTCCAAGTCCAGCACACTGTGGGTGCAAAAATGGTCAGAGCCAGTGTCCATTGAGCACCTACCCTGTGCTGGGCTTAATATCTATTAACTCACTCAGAGCCCGAACTGAAGGCAGAGACCACCTGCTTTCATCATTAACATGGCAGCTAAACGTGAAGTGTTCACTTGAGACCTCAATAAAACAAAAATTGAACATTTCAGGGAAGTTACCACCCCTAGAGCTGAAGGAGCGGAGGGAACAGGTGGGATTATTAATGCCTGTGCCTCCAGGGTGGGGTCCCCAGCCAGGCTGGAGGCTCTGGGCAGAGAAGGGAGACGACCAGGCATGTCCTGAGTGTCACAGAAGCTGCCAGGTGGATTTCCCTGCTGTTTGAGGGAGGGCGTGTTGCTGCCAGGGAGAAGACAGGGCACCAGGGGAGGCACCCGGGAACAGGAAGCCAGGGGAGGAGCAGTGCTCCCCTCCCCCGGCCTCCGTCTCCCTCTCTGGCCCTGTGGGCAGCGCCACACAGATTTAGGGTTTGCAGAACCCCGACCTCTGCAGCACAAAGCAGGCATGGAGCCCAGAGAGGGTAATGTAAGAACTGGTCCAGGCTGGACCCAGGAGGATTACCGTTTCACAGATGAGGAAACCGAGATACGGGGCAATTCAGTCATCTATGCAAGTGACACCTGGACTGTCCAGGATTTGAGCCAGGCGCCCTGCCCTTAGCCACTGATCTGTCGATGCTGGATGAATGGATGAATGGCAGTCCCGGGAGTCCTGCGAGGGCCAGCTCCGGGCCCCCGGCAGGTGCAAGGTCCCTCGCCTCCTGACTGCCCCCTTGTCGCCTGCCAGGTCATCCACTGGAACTCCCCCAAGAAGCTGCGGGTGAAGAACAAGCACGTGGAGTTCTTCCGAAACCTCTACCTGACCTTCCTGGAGTACGACGGCAACCTGCTGCGGCGGGAGCTGTTCGGCTGCCCCAGCGAGGCCGACGTCAACAGCAAGAACGTAAGTGGCTGTGCCTGCGCAGGGACGGGGGCGGCCCTGCTCCTCCAGGTACAGCTGCCGGGCTCCAGGTCTGCCTTGGACCTGACGCCTCCCCTGCCCTGGGAGTCCACTCTCGGGTGCAAGGACACGTCAGTGGATCCCTTTCATGCTGTTCCTTGCGGGTCCCAGAGGGGACAGTCATCCCAGATGGGTGGGTCAGAAGACCACCTGTGAAACGGCAGGTGAATTGTCTCTCGTGGCCAGGAAGCCCCCTTTGTCTTTGTGGACGTGGCATCTACCTGGGAGATCCAGAATCCAGGTCGGGGCAGTGCGTGGGGGGTGGGCACAGAATGAGATTTCCACAGGTGTGACTTCATCAGGTAAGGACAGAGTTAGGTGAGTAGTCAGAGGCACAGCTGACATCTGTCTCCTTCTCCTGTCTCTTTGCTGTTTATAATTTTATCATATGCTCTATCTCATTGGGTGCTCGTAGAAACCGTGTTTTACATTTGAAGCAATAGTGATACAGAGAGGCTGAGCAGATTGTCCACAGGCACACAGCAAATTAGGAGCAAAGTTGAGGCTGACCCTCAGCTCTAAGGATATGGGGAAGCAGCATTTAGCAGACCTTGATTTATTTCTGGCCCCTTCCAATTAGTACCTGTGTGACCTCTCTGTGCCTCAGTTTCTCCAACTGTCAGAAATCCCAGCAGCTTGGGAGGCTGAGGCAGAAGGATCAGCACTTCGAAGTCAGCCTGCAGCTTAGTGAGGCACTAAGCAACTCAGTGAGACCCTGTCACTATATAAAATACAAAAAGGGCTGGGGATGTGGCTCAGTGGTTGAGGGCCCCTGAGTTCAATTCCCAGTGCAAAAAAACATCAAGAAACTGCTTGTAAACAGCTAGCTCAGTATCTGCCATGTTAGATGCTCAGTAAATACCTGCTTCCAGCTCTTCTTGATCTTAGCATCAGACCCAGAAGTGATTGGTTTACTCAGTCCACAGTCATGGTTGATCTAAGCACTGAGTGTCCACAGGTGGAGAGCAGAGGGACAGTGGTCCCTGCTCCCGTGTTACTCAAATACTAGTGGAAGAGAAGATTAATAACAAACCATCAGGAAAAATTGACGGCTGGTGGTGGGTGCTACCTAGCTATAGGCTAGTGAGGAGCTGGGGGCAGCTGTGTTGGTTGGGGGTCCAGGGAAGGTTTCTATGAGGAGGTGATGTTTCATCTGAAATCTGAATGACAAGAAAGAGCTAGCCATGGCAGAGCAAAGGAAGTGCTCTGCAGGTGGAAGAAGTAGTGATGCAAAGGCCCTGAGGCAGGGCAAGCATGAGGAGTAGAAGGATGGCCAGTGTGCCGGGGACTCGTGGGGAAGAAGAGGATCAGGCGGCAGGGCCATGCTGGAAGGATTTGTAAACTAGAGTAAAGAAGGAGAATTCTGATTTTTCACCATGATTGTCATTGTTTCTATGGTTATTTTGGATGCTCTGAGAGTTCTTTTAGCTTCCAGGGGTGGGGGAGGGTGACTAGAAGGTGTAGAGGCCTGTCTCACCTGGCTTTTTATCAGCACTGGTCACAGTGCTGCCCTTGCCCTTGGCCTCCAAGTCACAGTGAGGTCACAGCCAGCCCCGGCCCTTCTTCCCTTCACCCTAGAAGCCTCCTCCTGATGGCGGAGGGAAAGCCATTAAGTGCTTAAGCACTTAGAGGTTCAGAGAAGCACTCGGAGCTGTGACCCACGCTGGGTTCCTTGGGTTTTCTGCCAGTTCTCTGCTCACATTGGTCTCGGTCATCGTCATCAATATTTGAGTGTCCTCTTGACACTTTTCTCTGAACGCTGAATGAAAACACATCTCTTACCGTTTCCCCCCTCCATGGTAAAAGCCTTGCAGAAGGAAGCCCTCGTCCATCACCCATGTCGGTGGCTTCCTGGAGCGAGCTGCTGCGTCCTCGGAAGCAGAAGCCCCCTCTGCAAGTGACTCACCAGCTTTTCCTGCCGTCTCCTTCCCCTGGGTGGATCACCAGGGTGAAGGCATCCCTGGTTTTTCCTGGAATCTGTGACTGCCTTTATTTGGCCATAAGCCTGCGTGGATGCCGGTCACCCTCCCAGCACCATGCAGGGCACTGGGCTTGACCTTGGAAACGGACCCGCCCCTGTGTATAAGGTGCCATTTAACACCTTAAATGGCACCTTACACACAGGGGCGGAGAGGAGAGTCTGTCCAGGCCTGAGGAGGGCCTTGGACAGCAGTGCAGCCTTCCCTAAGCGCTCACCATGGATGTCATCCTAGCCTGTCCCCCTTGACTCCCACACATGAGTGACGGCCAGCTGTCTGCAGCCAGGCTCAGGCTGGGCCACGTACTGCCAGTCCCACTGCCCCTGGTTGCTCTCGTATCCCAGTGTACATCTGCAGAAACTTCCTCTGACCCTCCTAAAGTCACCCTGTCAGTCACTTTGTGTCACCTACCTTATTTTCTTTCCATCAGAGCACACACTTCTCTCGGTAGTGTTCTGGTTCATGTATTTGTTTCCTGCATTTTTCCCCCTAAATAAAACCAATATACCAGCCTCCTAGATGGGGAACTCTACTGTTCTCCTTTCAGGTCCCCTCCCCTAGGGTAGAACTAAGTGTATAATAAATATTTATTGAATGAACATAGTGAGAAAATTTTAAAAAGAAGTACTGGGTGAAGGAAAGAGCAGATAAAGGAGTAAAGAACCAGAGAAAGAACACGTCAGCTGTGTCCAGGAGCGCAGGCCTGTCGGGGAGCAGGGGGGCTCAGTGTGGCTGTCCTGTCGGCGGTGAGGTCGGTGACCAGGTTTCTCTACACTGGGGAAACATCAGTGCAGAGAACAGAATGAAAGGAACAAGACTGAGGCCTTCGCCCCAGCCCAGGGATTGAGATGACAGCGGGGTCTGCCCTTGGGCGGCAGAGGCGAGCGGAGGCAGCAGATGGGTTCTAAGCCCGGGGAGCAGGTGCTCATAAATCAAAGACAGCGGGCCCCTGCGCCCAGGTGCAGGCAGATGTCTCCACCGGCTAAATCGGCTCTGGGCAAGGAGAGGTCTGCAGACACTGCGCTCCTGGAGCCCCAGGCCGGTCGGGGCTCCACCACCTGGTGCTCCACAGCATGTTGATCGCTGTCTGCAAACACAGAGGGAAGGAGGTCGATCTTGGATGGGGCTCAAAGCCGGATGCGCCCGACTCTGGGAAGAGGGCATTAGAGCGCAGATGGTGGTGAGGCTGGAAGAGACAAAGGCAGGGAGCTCTTCACCCGACTTCGGGTTCCAGATGGAAGCAGGACCCCATGGCAGAGTGTCCAGGTCTCTGGATTCATTCATCCGCTCCGCAGATGCTCATTCAAACCGGCCCCAGCCTCGGGCGGGAAGCCTTGCAGATTGAAGTCCAGCTGAGCAGTGCACACAGGCAAGGGGTGGCCACGCGAGGGGACAAGGGCCAGCATGGTGGCTGTGCTCTGAGAGTGCGTGAGAAGGCATTTCACTGACAGGAGAGAGAGGTGCACCAGGGTGCACCTCCTCCTCTTCCTGGAGGAGGCCAGATTTGGAGGATGAGCGTGTGGCGTGAGGCCTCTGGAGGGTGCGCTGTGGGAGGAGGGGCAGCATGTGCAGCGGAGACCAGAGGTGAACGTAAGCGTGGCACGTTTAAGGACACTCAAGGGGCTCAGATCCCAATGAAGATGATGTGAGGACCGTGAAGGGCGTCACGAGATCATTGTTGTTCCTTCGGTGGGGAGGTGATGGGGACCTGGGTCAGGCGTGAGTGTTCTGGTGACGTGCTCCCCTGTGCCATAGACAGATGACCTCAGAGAACTCACACATATGCTCTGAGCCTCAGGTTTACCACCTGACAAATGGGCACAGTGATGTCTTTGTCATGGTGTCTCATGGGTTATCTCTGCGAAATCATCCACTAAGGAGGTCGTAGTCCAGGGACTACCTCCTCAGTGAGAAGCTGAGATGTGAGGAGCAGAGCCCATCACGGAGCCTCTGATTGGGCGGTGTCTTCTAGAACAAGACAGTGTGGCTTGGAAGCACACTGCCTCCACCAGTGGTGGAGAGTGACCAGGAGTGGCTGGTGGGACACCACCACTCCTGTCCATCGCTGGTCTGGGTGTCTCTCCCTGGAACCGGTGAGTTGGTTTATGTAAGGTGGTAGGCACTCGGGGTGCATCCGTGACTGTGAGTTGACTGAAGAGGGGAGGGAGGTGGGATTCTATGCCTTGGCATTTCTCTCCCTGACCCTCAGCAGTCCCATCCTTCAAGCAATCCAAGAAACCCTGGGACTCCACAGAGCACAGCTGGGTAGCCGTGGGTCTTCTGCATCCCTTCCCCATTCAATATTCCATCCATAGCATCCTACCCAGCTCGTACCTGGGCTCTGCTGGAATCCTCCTGCACACGGGGAGCACCCTCCTCCCGAGCAAACTCTGCCTGCAGCTCACGAGACCGGACACTAAACCACCCTACCTGGTGTTGACTTGAAGTCTTCCCCTGAGTCTAAGAGACTCGTTAACCTGAGGCCTGTCTTCTGGAGCAGTAACAAATAGGGACACCCACTCTTGTCCCTGATGGCCCATCCTGGCACTGGTGGACAGAGTTCTGTAGGCTTGTGATTCTGAAACACGCAGATCCCCTAAGCCTCTATTTGCAGGGTGATGCTATATCACCAAGGAGCCCTTGCACCACCCAAGGAAGTTTCCAGATGAGGGAAGCTGACCTTGCTAAGCGCACACCCATTAAGATGGACAGGTTTTAACACATCTGGGTGGGAGTCGTGTTCAAGTCTGGGCCCTTCCTTGAGTAATGACATGAAGCTTAGGTGGTCATTTTTGATGACCAGGGTTACAGTGGGTAAAGCCAGAGGAGCCAACGGTTGGCCAGAGGAGGGAGGCTGCCATTTATGCTGGCAGGAAATGGCCAGGGACCACTTGCTGCTTGTTCTGCAGATTCCTTTCTGACAGCTGTCACTTTCAGTTTATCGTCTCCAGGAACAGCCCTCTG